GAACTGTAACACCCACTGACTGCCATTAAACAGCTTGGAAAATCAAATACAATTTTTAATTGTTAAATTGTTCAGGATTCGTCTGAAAGAAGAAAGTCATATACACCTAGGAGGATGCCTTGAGGGTGAGTAATTCATGGGCTAATTTTCATTTTTGGGTGAACTAACCCTTTAACTGTAATAAGATGATTGACAAGGCAGTTTAAACGGACGCACGGAACTAAGCAACAGAGCAGACCATTAAAGACAAAGTTATGACTAAATAGTATGTCCCAACAAAGCTTGCCTACTATTCTGCTACATACTTAAAAGTATGTACTTTTTCTTCACAAAAAGAGTACGTACTTTAGGGCATAGTATAAGTTGGCAAATTGGGATGCAGTAAAAGTGTTCTAAAATCGGCTAAAAAGTCTGAAATCTGCGTAACCACGTAACTTCACAGTCACCAGCAAGTTACTCTGCATTTGGCACTTAATTCCAGTTTTAGTTCCTAATTGAACAAATATATCATGTACATTTTACCAGAAAAAAACAGTTTTGAATTCGAGAAGACTTCAGGAAGACTTCATAGAATTTCCTTGAAATGGTCAGAGAACAACTGAGACTTTTACAAACAGATATTTATATTTACCATTAACATGCTGGGTATGTGATAAATTCCTGAAATATTCATGGTCCCTTATCAATAATATATAACAATATATAATGTTTTATGTATCAGCAAATGTATGCAATCACACATATTTCTAAGTAAACAGATAATTAACAGTTAAGCATATTATATACCTGAGAATACAAATATCAACATGCAGCATATTAAATAGTGATTTAATCTGTGTGTTTTTTTCTCATACACTATACAATTAGTATATGAAATTAAAATAAAACCATATTAACAAATGTACTTCATCCTCATAATGTGATGCATTTCTGAATGAAACAATATGCAGAGTGAAATAATGTTAGTGTGGTGGGGGTTATTATGCAGATTTGAGTTGGAATTTTAGTTTATGATTTTTACTGGGTTCTTTTTTTCCCCAGTAGTAGTTGGAAAATATTATTATACTGATTATCGACTGGGGCACATTTTTTTTTTTTTAATTATATATATATATATAAATATATATTATTTAATCATATTTATGTAAGGAGCACTACTCCCCCAGATCAAGGGTTTAAGGGAGCGTTGCTCACTGTACACTGGAAGGCCTAAAGTTTGCGTTTACAAAATGGCTTCCATGATATTTCGTTTTGCTAGCATTTTGTATCATCCAGACATCTCAAGATGTCACGATTGGTGTTTTGGTATCATTCTTGGTTTTTTAATATTTGCCTGTGATTTTTCTTGCAGAAGCACAGCAGTCTCGAGATAGGAATATAACGTCTCCGTTACGTATGGT